AAATTTTGAGCAAGGTCTGGGAAATTTTTGTCTATTGTATCTTCAAATAGCTTGCCCAACCCTTGAGTGTTGTCTTCTTACCCTTCTTGTAACCCTATGACCCTCACATTAGGTTTCTTCACATAATCCCACAGCTCTTGTAGGCTTTGCTCTTTTCTCTTGTTTCTCTGCTCTATCTCTGTGACGGTTTTATTTAGTTGGAGAGTGTTCTTCAATCTCTGAGATTCTTTCTTCTGTTTGATCTACCCTGTTCTTGAGACTGTCCACTGTATTTTGTAGTTCCCTGAATTGATTCTTCATTTCTAGGAGTTTGGTTAAACTTTTCTTCATTGTGTCTATTTCTTTAGTGAACTTTTCTTCTAGGTCCTGGAGGCTTTTTATGGTTTCTTTGTGTTGGTTATTGAGTTGTTGTTGCAGCTGAGTGAGTGTTCTTATGGTCCACATACAAAATTCCTCTTCTGTCATTTTGGTTGCCTGATTTTGGTTGGTGTCCATTTCTAGGGGGCTGGTGCTCCTCTTTAGGGGTGTGTTTTCCATTTGGTTCTTCATATTTCCTGAGTTCCTTTGCTGATTTCTTTACATGTGAATCAGTTGTTGTTTCTTACTTTAGGTTTTCATTTGGATATTCACACACCTTGTTTAGTTTCTGAGCCGGTAGGTGGTGTTTGTGGGTGAGATTCGACCACTCCCTGTATAATGAGTCAGTAGGTGCCATGAAAAGGCTGTGCATAATGTCCTCCCTGCCAGTAGGTGGTGCTTGCTTGGAGGAACAAGCTACGCTGTTGTTTTTGTGTCTTGTTATCAGCTCTTGTTCCTGTAGCGAGGCACTCTAGAGCCTCAGGTGGTCGGTGGGTCCCTGGGACTTCCAGGTGTGTCCTTTTCTCCCCCTCAGTGAGGACTGGTCTAGGAGAGAGTCTGGGTGGAGCTGGGTTCGGTAAGCCTGCCCTCAGGCACCAACAATGCTGTTAGCAGGGGTCAAATTCTGTTCTCTGCTTCCAGGAAAAGATGTCAGGGAGGGGCTGGAATGGCCCTGCTCAGTCAGAAAGTCTGTGTGGGGGGTGGGGCTGTCTGAGGCCCGCAGTCTTGAGCTGGCCTGGCTTCTTTCCACCCTCCCCAACTCCGCAGCTACTCCTGGGCCTCTGCCAGCAGGCCTGGCCACACACCACCAGGACTCCCCTGACTGTGATGCCGTCGGGGTGGTTCCCTGCACAGGAACGCCACCTGGGCTGGGCACACGGCCTCCTTTTGGGAGGAGGATTTCCCTCTGGGATGCTGATCTTCCCCTGAAGGCACACACACCTCAGTAGGCTGTTCACGTATATCCCTTCTGTGCCCTGGGCAATGCTAGACTTCGGTGCATGGGATCTGGTCTGCAGGTCTGACCTCTGGGCCCCAGAGTTCAAACTATGTCCCCACCAGGGAGAGGAGTGCCAGTCCCAATTTGCCCACAGGGAGCCCAAGCTGGGTCTATGTCTCTCAGTCTCAGGGTCTGCCCCCTTGTCCTGGGATCACCATGCGAGCAGCACCTGGGAAGGCTGGTGGGTAGGGAGCTCAGAGTCTGCGTTTCCCTTAGTCAGCTGTGGGGTCCCAAAAGGGAAGGTCCCATTCCCTGTAGGTACCTCCGGCTGGTGGCTATATTGTCTCTTTGGGCAGCCGAGGGTAGGGTCGGGGGAGGGGAGAAGGAGGCAATATGGCGCCTGCCAAGCAGCTTGAGTCTGTGCACACGGAGGTGCCCCGAGGGAGTTGGGAGCCTGGTGCCGTGTCTGCTACTGGCTCACCATTAGTTGGCGGTGGCCATCTCTGGGCTGGTGTCTGCAGGTCTCTCCACCCGCTGGAGAGCCCACCAGCAGTCCCAGATGTAGGCGAAGGGAAAGGTGAGTGACCCACCTACCCTTCCCACTGGTCTCCGGGCTGCTCCGGCGGTCTCAGCTTCCAGTTCTCCTCCGCAACCTCCTCCCGTGGAGTCTCCCGTGGTCTCCGGTACCCCTCCTTCCGGCCCTCGTCCACTGTATGCTCGTCTTCTTGCTTCTTTTTTCTAATTTCTGCTAGAATCTGTCTTTTCTGCAGAGACACTCTGGCGATGTTTCTCGTCCGCCATCTGTAGTCCCAGCCACTCAGGAGGTTGAGGCAGGAGGATCACTTGAGTCTGGAAATTCAAGGCTGTAGTAAGCTATGATTGGGCCATTGTACTTCAGCCTGGGTGACAGAGTGAGATCCCATCTCTTGGGCTCAGAAGTGGGGACGTGGCTTCCTTCCGTGGTCACAACTGTGGGGTTGATCCAAAGATGACTCTTGCAGACGTCTGTGTCTTTGACTCCTGGCTTTCTTTCCCGAGGAGCTTAGTGCCTCCTCATAAAGGACAGCCCGTTGAGTCACAGGACATTCATTTAACAGACCTTTCTCTGAAAGGGGTTTAATCAGAGAAAAGATGTCAGAGCAAGAAGGCACCAGGCCCTCCTGGGGTGAAAAGAAAGTAATTCACCAACAAGGCCATGGTGGAAATGGGATGGATCTCAGGATGAATGTCCCCTGTCACATCATCATCCAAAGAATTCACTGGCATGTGAACTTACTAGAAGATGCTGAGAGTGAGCACATAGGCACTCTAAGTAATGAACCTGTTCACTACTTTGTCCAGAGCTATGAGCTCTGAATTTACACATCTGACAATACAAAGGTTCAGACCCAGAAAAAGAAAAGTTGCAGAGCAGGTGGAGACCTAGGCCACTAGGCCTCATAACTCTGGTTTAAATCAAGGAGAAAAATCTACCATTAAATGCCACTGCCATGACCGAGTTTTCTAAGCTGGCTCTGCTAGTCACACCACCTTGTAGACCAACTGAAAATACTCATTTGACTGACAATTATAGACAGGATGGTTATCAAAACACCTGATCTGCCGAGACATGGTCATACCTCAAGATATATCAATAACATGTATATTCATAGATCTCCATTCAAGGCTTACGGGCTAAAGGTATCTTCTAAATAAGTAGACTTTGTAAGTTTTATGGGTAAATAAAATTTATAAATATTTAAATTATAATACATTAATATTTTGTGTATGTTCTAGATGATTAAAACCCACACATAAACTATAACAAAAATTTAAAATTAGTTATATTCATGGCTTAACATCTCCCCACAGTCCTTATCCATTAAAGTAAATAATTTAACACTAATTTGGAGCATCTTTATATGTGATCTAGTAGTAAGAAAATATGAAGAGTTAAAAATAACTCAAGAAATAATTTATAGTAAAGCCCTGCAAGTAATTAAGAAAGTTGAGGTTATAGTACAACTGGGTATAGCTCCTTCATTATTAACTAGCTGGATGATTTGGGACTAATCATTGAAATTTTCTGAACTTAATTTCTTCATCACTAAAATAACAGAAAGATAAAATTGACTGGGGATAAGAGTGGACTAGATTTTTCTAAGACACCTTCTAAGTCTAAATTTCAAGGGCACTACAAAAATACAATAAACTTAGAGAATCTTTGTGATAGGCAGCCTCAAAAATAACCCAATGACCCTTGCATGCTGACATCTATGCTCTGGTGTAGTCTTCTCCCTTGAAAAAAAGCTAGACCTACCATCACTTCTGATATTAGATTACAAAAGTACTGTGACTTCCATCTTGCTCTTTCTCTCCCTCCCCTTCTATATTATCTCTCTCTCTTTCTTGAAGACAACCAGCTTTCATGTTGTAAATTGCCCCATGGAAAAGCAAGGAACTGAGGGAGACGTCCAGTCAACAGCCAGTGAGGAACTGAGGCTGTCATTCCAACAGATCACAAAGGCTAAACTGAACAGCCAAAAACAACAGAGTGAGCTTGGAAGCAGATCCTCCCCCAGCTGAGCATTCAGATGAAACTGTAGCATCAACCAGCACTTTGATTACAGTCTTGTCAGAGATCTTTAGGCAAAGAAACTCAGCTAAGCTGCACTCAGACTCACAATGGAAAGAAACTGTGAGGTACTAAGTGTGTGTTGTTTTAAGCTAGTAAGTCTTGGGATAATTATAATGAAGCAATAGAAAATTATTGCTCTAAAGCAAGATTAATTCTATTTGAAAGGGCTAAGAATCAGGTCCACAGAAGGAGAGCAAGGAACTGTTCTTCTGAGTGGCTGGAAATGTATGTTCAATTCAATTCAATAAGTACTGATAGCACCATCATTATGGTAAAAACATTATGGTCACATAAAAGAATGCAAAACAGTGTCTTTACCATGAACCAGCTTACAGGCCTTATGCACACAAATTAACTTTGTAGATGGGACAGGAACAGATAACTGTTCACCAAACCCATTTCCTCTTCTTCCTGTGTACGGGGCTAGACAGAGTTCCCTGCAGAAAAGTATGGTCAAATGACTAGATGCAGCACTTTCAGACTTGGTCCATTAACATTCCCACATCTTGATGCAGATGAACCAGTGTTGAAGATGGTGAGCAACAAGATGGCAGGAGCCTGGAACCCTGCAATGTCACATAGAGGAGAGCCACATGCCTGTCAACAATGTCTATTTTGGACTTCATCTCATGAGAAATACATTTCTATTATCTTAAGCCACTGAGGTTTGGGAGATTATCTATTACAGGAGCTAGCATTTCCCTAATACATAAAGCAAAGGACAATACAGGCTAGTTTAATAAAAATGCTACTGGGAATATATTTAATGAGGACCTGAAAGTAGGCTGTATTTTAAAGCATTACTGGAACATAAGTTTTACTCATTTGTCTTCAACATCAAATAGTGATGTGACCTTAGACTAGGGGCTTAACCTTTCTGGAAGAGATAATCTCTTAGTCACCCTTTCTCTCTAAAAGCCTTTAAGACTCAGATTTGATGGTTCAAATAAAAGAAAAAAGCTGTGTGAGGTTAGACTCTTATCATCATGTAATTCTTCTGGCAATTAAAAATGAAAAATGCTTTCCATGTCCAGTGTACAATGTATATTCTTCCTTTATAACATCTTTTACCCTTTTTAATATTACCTTTCACTGGTCACCTTCTTCAATGAGGTTAAAGGTCCTTGGCATCAGAGGCCACAGTTTATTCATCTTTGTCTCCCAAAGGCCTAGCACAGTGCCTGGTACATACAAGGACGGAAAAAGATGTGATTGAGTGAGGATGGAGCAAATATCATAAACTTTCCAAAGGTTCAAGCAGGAGAGTGACTCAGCGTAAAGGGAGGGGGATTCTCTGAGAAATGAGGTGGGCAGAAGGGAAGATGGTAGTATTGACTCTGAGCTATTGCTGTTAGATGTGGGCTGGACATTATCTGTCCCGACTGGCAACAATTTATTCTAGGAGTGAAGAAGATGAGTGACAACATGAGATGGCTTCCTTAGCCATGAAATTAGCTAAAGTGCTATCATTTGCAGAAATTTTACAGCCTGCTGATGCTGATCAAGGGCAAGAAGGAAAGAGTTTAGGGAACAGAACCCAATAAATCTGATTTGTCCAACGCTCACTTTATTCCAGGGTTGAGTGGTTCCAACTAATAAGGCAGAGACATGGATAAAAGGAAGGAGTCTTTGAATATGGATTTTATCCCCTTGTGCCTCTTCCCCAGTATGAAACATATTAACTTCTTGGTCTCTACCATCTTCCTGGTCTACACTGTGGCTCTCACTGCAAACTCTATTCTTATTCTTCTGATGTGGGTGGATTCTCATTTCCACATGCCCATGTACTTCCTGCTCAACCAGCTGGCTCTCATGGACCTGACATTAATCTCTATCACTGTACCCAAGATGGCAACTGACTTCTTCTTAGGGAGGAGAAACATCTCACGGGTGGCCTGTGGGACTCAAATCTTCTTCTTTTTGACTCTAGGAATCACTGAGTGTATCCTCATCATTCTCATGTCCTATGACCAGTATGTAATCATATGCAACCCTGTAAGATATGCCGTCATCATGAGCCAGAGGGTCCGTTTGAAGATGCCTGCCATCTCCTGGGCTAGAGGTACACTTACATCACTTGCACACACAGCCTATGCCATGTATTTCTCAATCTGTGGTTCCAGAGGGATTTCCCATCCTCTCTGTGAGGTCATGGCCATCCTAAAGTTGGCCCATGAGGATATCACTGCCTATGAGAGGGTGATGGTGGTGACAAGCATTGTGGTGCTCCTCATTCCCCTGTCCTTAATCCTGAGCTCTTATGCCCTCTTCTTCCTTACTGTCCTCCACATGAACTCCCCTGAGGACAGAAACAAAGCCCTGGTTACCCATTCCTCCCACCTGACTGTGGTGAGCCTCTACTTTGGTCCAGCCATGCTGGTCTATATGAGGCCTAGTTCTTACCAGATTCTCTTATGCCTGGTGCCACCCTCACCCCAATGAGGAACTCCCTCATCCACAGTCTAAGGAGAAAGGAGGTGGTAGGTGCTCTGAAAAAGGTGTTGGGATGCTGCCTATCTTCAAATCAGACCACAGATGTATGATAGATGATAATCGATAGTTTAATCAGCCCTGCTTAAAGGTCAAGTTCTCAGTCGTGATCCTTCCACACTTAAAAATTCAATGGAACCACTGGCTCTATGGATTCAGGTCATATATGCACAAAACTGGTGAAACATACTTTTCTTCTTTCATGATTCCTTGAAGGTGTTAGGCCCACCCACTTGGGCTATGAATCTTCAGGATTTAGGCAGTCCAGGGTTGAAGTGATGAAAGTAGTTATGGTGATGATGATGATGAAGTTTCACCAAGAAAAGTAACTGAATCAATGATATTTTATTCCACCACAAAGAAGATGTGTATCAAATTCTTTTCTTGAAAGAGGCCAAACACCACTGAAAATCCAGAAGTGCTCCAGAAGTAAAGATAAAAACTGAAGATTTCTTGGTTTTCAATATGTAAAATGAAAGGGCTAGCTTAGGTTATCTCTGAGGTCTTTAACAGACATAAACAAAAAACCAATTCAATTAGTTTTAAACACTATTCTGCACTTAAAATTTAATTATTTTATGAAATTGTCCCCATTACCAAAAAGGATACCTATTAAGATTTTAGTTTCAACTTTTTATTTTCAATGACACATAATTATATTGGACTTGATAGAAATGGACAGTTATCTGCAGATTTATACAACTAGAATGAATTTCAATATTTTTTACTTTTCTATTGCCTTTGACATTTAGTGTTGTAGGAAAAACACATTTCACATTTCAACAAAGAGGAAAATAGACTGAATGTGACTTAGTCTACTACATAAATGTGGAAATACTATTGCCCTAATGTCTGACAGTATGAGCATAAATGTACTGCAATTGGACCTAAGGGACTTAATAATTCACTAGTATATCCATTACACTTTAATTAACTTGGTTTGGTGACTGAATTAGCACATGTAAAATTATTTAGGCAGTCATTTAAAAGCCAATAGAAAAAGTGAGGGATAATAAATGTACCCTGGCTAACAACAAAACAAAGGGCTGGGAATTAAAAGGTATAGCCACAAGCCATCTTTAATCCCTGGGGGGGAAAAAGATGATTTATTTTTAAATTCAAAATATGTTGAAGATTATATGGAAGAAATATTTTCTACAAAATGGGTAGGTAAAGTTTTAAGATAGTCTTCATATAAGTGATTAATGTAAATTATCTGTGCTAGGAAGAAATATATGTGCCAAATGAAGTGTATGGCAGGGATCACTGGGGAAGGAGTATAAACCAGGAGTCTTTTTGGCAGTGATTGAGTAGATAAATGCAAGGACATGTGTTTTGCCCCATAATCATTTACTTGGGTATCAACTGTCAGGTTTAAGCATTTCTATTTCTGACAATAAAGCTGAATCCCTTGTATTCCAGTTGTTTTTCCAATATAACTATTATATTGCACCAAATAAAACAAGAGAGTGGGTAGTATATAAATGGCCCATTCAACAGCTCTAAAATATATTTTAATAGCCAGGCTATCATTCTGCTTCAATTTATTTTGGTGTAGTGGTACCACCATTTAAGGAAGGCCTTGTATAATAATGCCTATTGTATCTCAGTACTTAAAGTACTTTTTCCCACCCCAATAACCAATATGGCAGAGCTATCTTTCACAACTGGGATAAAACAGGAGGAGTCCACTTAAATGGGATTTGAACTGAAAAGGAAAGTGAGATACATAGGTCTTACTTGCTTCCGGAGTCTGGTGGCTTCACACACACACACACACACACACACACACACACACACACACACAATTTATAAGTACCCTACAAGAACAAAAGGGACCTTTAATGTATTGACTTGTTTTTAAGATAATAAAAGAGGAAAACTGGGAAAAGAAAATCCCCAGATAAAGCTCTCATCCATCCACTCGCTGTTGCCAATGCCACATCTCTCCTCAACAGAATTCAGGTGAATGGGAAGCATCACCATCTCAACTCAGCCGCTAGGAAAAAGGCGAGGCAGTCCCAGTGTCCATGAAAAGTCCACTGTCCTGTCAAAATCTCTCTCCATGGAGACCAAAGTCATGTGGCAGAAACTACTTCTTTCTAATCTAATTGGAAACTTTCTCTAGAAATGTCTCAGAGAAAATGAAAGTTATCTAGTGCAATCTCATGTCCTAACATTCTGAAAATAAGTGAGGTGCTTCAAAAGGAAAAATGTAATATACAAATAAAGGTAAAATGGGAAATTGACTCTTATCTTTTGCTAGCTTGGAATTTCTTTGGAGGGGAAACTATTGACAGTCTCTAATGTAAACTTAAAGCCTCACTGACACAGAAATCACTCTTTGCAGACATGAAATTGCCATTGGTACCTTATTGCCCTTTCCTCTGACGTGAACAATTAGAAAGCCAGCATTCTCACCAACAGACTACATCTCATCACTAAATATAGTAATCAAATTACTCCTAAATGTCTATTCTGACCCAACAATTTCAGTTTCTTATTTCGTTTTCTTTTATATGTGATTTAGATTCCACCTCTTTAGCCATTTCTGTTTTGATTTAACTCTCCTCCCTTCCTCATGCCACACACACACAGTTTGGGCATATATTTTTAAGGTGTAATTACAACACCCCCATTTGATTGCCTTGGCTTAGATTCCCATTATAATTCTTATAGGATATGAAGATTCTAGAAATATTTTCAGCCTGATTATTTCCCTTTGTGCTAACTGGCAGGAAAACATGCTCTACTTTACCTACATGGGATCAGTCATATCACAATCACAATCTAAGGTCAGATTGGAATAAGCCCACTCCACTCTTAAAAATATATATACCATGCAACCACCTAGCCCAGAGCCAAGAAAATCCTGGTCTCTCTGTAATTTTAACATTTCACTGAAATTTCTTGAGTATTAATGGCTAAGGGAATTTGATGAGCTGGAAACCGTGGCTGTATAGCTTTCTCAATTTCAAATAAGGAAAACCTATGAGAAACCCAAAGTCAAAGAAAGCAGGAGTATGCCTTTTATAGTCCGTGAACACCTACTTCATCTCCACCTTTCTTTTCTCTCTTTCTGTCCCTCCTGATTCTTTTTCTCTCTTTTTAACCTGTCAATATCTATTTCTCTCTGTGTGATTACTCCTGCATCTCAGGCCTCCATGTCTCTCTGTCTCCCTGAACTTTCTCTCTCTGCCTACTCTTCTCTCTCCCCCCTCCCTCCTTCCCTCTCTTCCTACTTATATTTCCCTTTTCAACCCTTCTCAATTCTTTGTCCATGTTCCTCTCTTTCATTATCCTTTCCATTCCCTTCTCTAAATCTTTCTGACATTTTCCTTTTGCCACCTTCATCTCACTTCTCTGTTGTAAAGTGTTGCAAACAGAACATTTTTAAATGTTTATGTACATTGAATAAAGTTTTAGTTTTTATTCATTTTATAAAATCAATATGACTGGGTCTTTCTAAAGAAAATAACTGGGTACTGTAGTTTGGGGCTGTTTATAATTTTTATTTTATCTTTTGGCATTTATTGGTTAGAAAATTGCTTTTCATGCCTAATATTAATTCATTCCCATGTCAGTAGTTAAGAATAAGGAAAAACAGTGGGCTTGGCGTTGTCCTACTAGCTCACTGTCATGGGGATGTTCCAGTGGTGCGTTAGACAGAGTGCTGAAGTTGAGATGATTTCTGTAGAAAGGGTGATGGAATATACAAACCTTGAGAAAGAAGCACCTTGGGAATTCCAGAAACGCCCACCACCGCCCTGGCCCCATGCAGGATGATTATCTTTGATAATGTTAACTTCATGTACAGTTTAGACGGGCCCCTGGTCCTGAAGCACCTGACAGCACTCATTAAACCTCAGGAAAAGGTTGGCATTGTGGGAAGAACAGGAGCTGGAAAAAGTTCCCTCACTGCAGCCCTTTTTAGATTGTCAGAACCTGAAGGTAAAATTTGGATTGATAAGATCTTGACAACTGAGATTGGACTTCACGATTTAAGGAAGAAAATGTCAATCATTCCTCAGGAACCTGTTTTGTTTACTGGAACAATGAGGAAAAACCTGGATCCCTTTAATGAGCACACATGAGGAGCTGTGGAATGCTTTAAATGAGGTACAGCTTAAAGAGGCCATTGAAGATCTTCCTGGTAAAATGGATACTGAATTAGCAGAATCAGGATCCAATTTCAGTGTTGGACAGAGACAATTGGTGTGCCTTGCCAGGGCGATTCTCAGGAAAAATCGGATATTGATTACTGGTGAAGCGACAGCCAATGTGGATCTAAGAACTGACGAGTTAATACAAAAAAAAAAAAAATCCGGGAGAAGTTTGCCCATTGCACCATGCTAAGCATCGCGGACAGACTGAACACCATTATTGACAGTGACAAGATAATGGTTTTTGGATTCAGGAAGACTGAAAGAATATGATGAGCCATATGTTCTGCTGCAAAATAAAGAGAGCCTATTTTACAAGATGGTGCAACAACTGGGCAAGGCAGAAGCCGTGGCCCTCACTGAAACAGCAAAACAGGTATACGTCAGAAGGAATTATCCAGATATCACTCAGACCAACCAGGTAGTAATGAACGCTTCCAATGGACAGCCCTCAGCCTTCACTATTTTTGAGACAGCACTGTGATTCTAGCAAGATCACACCTATTCCAGAGGCATTTTCTAATAGTTTTTGTACTACGTAAACTGCATTGTAATTTTTATACTCGATCAACAAATATTTGTACATACATGATGTTAGTTCATTTGGATCTTTCCCCTGATTTCATCCAATGATGTCAAGCTCTAACAAAATGATTTATTTTTATTTAAATGTTGTTGGTTTTTTTAAAATCAGAGGTGCAGGCCACCAACAAAAGGCATCTACCGGGTTTTGTGCCTTAAGAGACTCCAGAGCCAAAGCTCCTTTTTAAGGAATAGGACAAAACTGGCACAGGTTTGGGTTTGTGTGTGTGTTACTATCCCCAAAATTACATGTTAATTTCCAGTTGTATCAGGGATTCTATTTACTTGAAGACTGTGTGAAGTTGCCATTTTGTCTCACCATTTTCTTTTTCATAAGTGAGATCTATTATTTCCCCCAAAGGCCTCTAGTTATTATAAAATAGTACAGATAAAATCAACAGGCAAAACAAAAAATATATTTTAGTTAAGTGACATCATAGTAGGGCGAATCTACCCCTTTCCCCGCACATTCGTACCAAAAATATATATGGTTAAAGTGTAGAAGAACAATATTTTATCATATGTTCTACAAAAGAAAGAAGGAATTATAATACTGTCTCAAAGTGGGAGGTAATTTGATACTGAAGGACACAAGTGTGACCATCCCTCATCTTTTAGATTTTTGAGATTCTGACATGGTAACTGTGTTGCAGTTTTGGACTCAGCATGGTGATACTTTCCACAAAGGCCAAACTTCTAACTGTAATTCCTGAAATATATGATATTATTCTTATTAGAGTTCTGGCTTACGGAAGGTTAACCCTCTATAAACTGTGAGCCTTCTGTTTGGCCTTTATTGACATCCTTGCTAAATTTTATGGGCTTTCCTAACTTGGTGAGACAAACTGAGAAAAGCATTGACCGTAATTATGCAGTATGTTCTTGGGATGCATCCAGAAAGTTCATTTTCATGAGCCTGTCCAGGTTAGTTTACTCAGGATCACCAATAGCAATTTCTTTAGAGTTTCTGATTAGTGAATCAACAAACCATAAAACTTCCTGGGACCTGGTGTACTTTTTTGAACTATGGGTCTTCATTTTTTCTTGATGGTGGTGGCTGTGGTATACTGAGTTCAGTTTACTAAAGGTTTTACTATCATGGTTTAAGGTAGATTCGAATGACCTCTCAGAATAAGGTGTAACCACCCTCAAATTGCATATACATGCACACATGGACACATATATGTGCCTTGATGTGTGGTAGGCTTTTGAGAAGCAGATGTTTTATAGAATGAACCCTTAAAAAGTACATACAAGCTAACTACCAAAACACATTGAGTGTAGTAGCTGTTCAACTCTTTGTATTTAGAAATATGGTTACCGTTCAGTTGAATAAACCACACACAATAAGATGTTTGTTAATAAGTCATGGTTAGTATTTTAGGCAACTGAAATGACAACAGTGATAAATATGAGGTTTGTTCAAACATTAGATATATTTGAAATGTGTGTATGTTTATTTGATCTTTAGAGGATATAACATGTTTCTATTTCATTTCTGTTTTAATGTTTATAGAGTTTTTTAATGAAGCAAAATTCAGTTGAAATAAATGACAATTTTTTATCTCCAAAAAAAAAGAAGAATATAGAAAAACAGGAGTGACATCAGCAAGATGGTAGAATAGAACTTCCCAGTGTTCATCCCCTTACAGAAGCATCAATTTCAACAACTATCCACGCACAAAAATATTTTCATAAGAGTTAAGGAAACCAGGTAAAAGATCACAGCACTTGGGTGTACTACACAAATAAAAAAAGATGCTTTGGAGAGGGTAGGAAGGACAATTTCACATTTCTTGCATCACTCCTTCCCCAAGCCCAAGCAGCAGAGCACAGAGACATACCCTCTGCATTAAGGAAAAAGAATGAAATAAGCAACCCACTTTGCCACCGACCCAGTCAAACCCAACTCTAGGCTTGCCCCATTGCCAGGCCAGCCCCCATAGCACCAGGCTCCAGGGCACCTCGCATCCCTGGGCTTCAGGACTAACCCACTCCTAGGCCAGACCCCTCAGTAAAAGGCTACAGGACCACCCTATGGACCCAGCCTAGGGGTCCAGGATTCAGCAACCAGGCCCAACTCTGCAGACTCAAGATCAAGTCCCTCCCCAGCAATAGAGCAGCCCCGGCAGACACAGGAGCCAGGCCCATGCCAAGACTAGGTTGGCTCTGGCTCTAGCAAACTCAGGCTCGAAATTCACCCCAGCACCAGGTTGGCTCTCATGAATCCAGGCTTCAGACCAGCCCCACAGACACGGGCTCCAGGCCAACACATATGGACCCAGGGTCCAGGCCCACCTACCTACAAACCCAGGGACCAGGTCATATTATATATCATGTCATAGCTAACGTACTCAATAGTGGAAAAGCTGGAGCTATTCATTAAGATCAGGAACAAGACAAGGACACATATTCTCACCATTTCTCTTCATCATAGTACTGGAAGTTCCCTTGCCAGAGTAAAGGCAAGAGAAAAGCAGAAAAGGAATCCAAATCAGTAAGAAAGAAATAAAATCATTTCTGTTTGCAGATAACATAATGTTAAAAATAGAAAATACTACAGATTCCACCAAAAATCTTTTATTTATTTATTTTTTTTCATTTTTTTTTATTTCGGCATATTATGGGGGTACAGATTTTAAGGTTTCAATAAATGCCCATTTCCCCCCCTCTCCCCAAAAGTCTGAGTCTCCATCATGGACACAATGGTGTGCATCTCATCATTATGTATGTATATTACCCGCCCTCCCCCTCCCACCTGCCCAATACCCTATTACTGTAGTACCTATGTGTCTACTTAGTGCTACTCAGTTAATACCAGTTTGCTGGAAATACATCTGGGCTTGTTTTTTCATTCTTGGATACTTCACTTAGTAGTATGGTTCAGCTCTAACCAGGAAAATATTAGATGTGCTATACACCATTGTTTCTTAGAGCTGAATAGTACTCCATGGTATACATATACCACATTTTTAATCATTCTTGGATTGATGGGCACTTGGGCTGTTCCACAGCCTTGTGATTATGAATTGTGCTGCTATAAACATTGAGTGCAGGTGTCTTTTTTTGTAGAGTGTCATTGGATCATTTGGGTAGATGCCCAGCAATGGGATTGCTGGATCAAATGGTAGATTCATTGTATCGCTTTAATATCTCCATATTGCTTTCCACAGAGGTTGAACTAGTTGCAGTCCCACCAGCAGTGTAGGAGTGTTCTCCTCTCTCCGCAAACATGCCAGCATTTATTGTTTGGGAGATTTGATAAAGGCCATTCTCACTGGGGTTAAGTGATATCTCATTGTGGTTTGATTTGCATTTCCCTGATGATTAGAGATGTTGAGCATTTCTTCATATGTTTGTTGGCCATCTTCTGTCTTCTTTAGAAAATTTCTGTTCAAGTTTTGCCCACTTTTTAATGGGGTTATTTGATTTTTCTTCCTAATTTTCGTGAGTTCTAAGTATATTCTAGTTATCAGTCCCTTATCGGATGCATAGGATGCAAACATTTTCTCCCATTCTGTAGGTTGTCTGTTTACTTTCATGACTATTTTTTTGGCTGTGCAGGAAGCTTTGTAGTTGATCATGTCCCATTATTTATTTTTTGTGCTGCTGTGATTGGCCTTTGGGGTTCTTCATTAAACTCTTTGCCAGAGGCGATGTCGAAGAGAGGTGTTCCAACTTTTTGCTCTAGAGTTCTAATGTTTATATCTTAGGTTGTAAGTTGTATCCAGCGTGAGTTGGTTTTTGGAGAGTGAAAGGTGTGGTCCTGTTTTAGCCTTCACAAGTGGTATCGTTTCCGCACCATGTTATTGAGACGAGCAGATTCTTTTCCCAGCGTATTTTATTGTCTGCTTTGTCAAGATGAGATGGCTAAATTGAGGATGGTTTATATCAGGATTCTCATCTGTTCCACTGGTCATATTCCTGTTTTTGTGCCAAATCCATATTGTTTATTACTACAGCTTTGTTAGTAAGTTTGATATCTGGCATTTAATGGCTCCCATTTTGTTTTTTTAGTGTCTTCTTCGTTATATCTGTAGTTTCTGTATCTGATGGGATTTAATAGGTATTGCATTGAATCTGTAGATCAGTTTGGTAGTATAGACATTTGATGATATTGGGTCTGCCGATCCACGAGCATGGTATGGATTTCATCTGTTTAATCTCTGCTATTTCCTTCCTCAGTGTTTTAGTTCTCCCTGTAGAGGTCTTTTACTCCTTGGTTAATATATCCTAGTACTTATTTCTTGTTGCTATTGTGAAGGGAATGAGTCTTTGACTTGGTTCTCAGTAGGAGATTGTTGTTGGCGTATATGAATGCCTCTGATTCTGCGTATTGATTTTGTATCCTGAGACTTTACTAATTCATTGATCAGTTCAGGATTCTTGGTGAATCCTTGGTGTTTTCTAGATACAATATCTATCATCAGCAAACAGTGAAGTTTGATCTCTTCTGCCCTATTTGGATACCTTTTGATTCCTTTCCTGTCTGTTGCTGTAGCCAAGACTTTCAGTACTATGTTGAACAGAAGTGGAGATAGGTGGGCAGCTTGTCTGGTTCCAGTTCTAAGTGGGATGATTTCAATTTTTCCCATTCAGTATGATGCTGGCTATGGGTTGATGGCATATTCACATATGGTTGTTCATTTTTAGGTATGTCCCTTCTATGCCTATTTTCTTAAGTGTTGTATCATAGAAGGGTGTTGAATTTTGTCAAAGCTTTTTTGCATCTATTGAAAGAATCATGTGGTCTTTGTTTTTGTTCTGTTTATGTGGTGAATTGCATTTATAGTTTACGTATGTTGAACCATCCCTGCATCCCTGGGATGAAGCCCACTTGGTCGTGGTGGATTATTTTTTGTAAGTCTGGATTTGGTTAGCTAAGATTTTGTTGAACATTTTTGATCTATATTATTAGGGATATTGGTCTGTAGTTTTTTTTTTGTTGCATCTTTCCTGGTTTTGGTATCAGAGTAATATTCGCTTCATAAAAGGTGTCGGGGAGGTTTCCGTTCTTCTCGATGTTGTGGAATAGTTTCTGCAAGATAGGTACTAGTTCTTCTTTGTAAGTATGGTAAATTCAGGTGTGAAGCCATCTGGACGGGACTTTTCTTTTTAGGGGTTTTAATTGCTGTTCTATTTCAGGCTGTTGAGATTGGTCTGTTCAGGGAATCTATTTCTTCTGGTTGACCTAGGGAGGCTGTGTGTTTCTAGAAATTTGTCATTTCTCTCCACATTTTCTAGTTTGTGGGCATAAAGTTTTTGTGTATTTCATAAATTGTATCTTGTATCTCTTTTGGATCAGTTGTGATATCTCCTTTTTTTTCTGATGGAGCTTATTAGAGATTTCTCTTTTCTGCTTTCGTTAGCTTAGCCAATATGGTTTCATATTTGTTTATTTTTCCAAGAACCAACTTTGTTTTATTAATCTCCTGAATAGCTTCCCTGTTTTCAATTTCGTTTAGTTCTGATTTGATTTTTATTTCCCTCTTCTGCTGGGTTTGGGGTTGTGTCTTCTTCTTTTTCCAGCTCTTTGAGTCGTTCATTAGTTGTCTATTTGTGACTTCTTGTTTTTGGTTATAGGCATTTATGGAGATAAACTTTCCTCTCACAACTGCTTTAGCTGTGTCCCAGAGGAGTTGATAACTTGTCTCTCCATTGTCGTTTTCTTCATAGAACTTTTTTATTCGTCTTGATTTCTTCATTTACGAAGTAATCTATTAGTAGGAGGTTGTTTAATTTCCCGTTTTGTAGAAATGTGAGTTTCTGTTAGGTTTCTTCTTTTATTCCACTGTGATCTGAGAAGGTACATGGTATGATTTCTATTTTTTTAATTTCTTGAATTTTCTTGTGTCCTAGGAATATGGTCAATCTTAGAGAATGTCCCGTGAGTTATGAGAAGAACGTATATTCAGTGGATTTTGGGTAGAATGTTCTGTAGATGTCTGTCAGACCTAATTGTTCTAGAGTTTTGTTTAAGTCCATTATTTCTTTGTTAATTTTTCTGTTTGGAGGATCTGTTCTCGTGCGTCAGTGGGGTGTTGAATCTCTGGCGATTATAGGTTGCTATTAATCCATTTGCTTAGCTCCAGTAAGGTTTGCTTTATGAATCTGGGTGCACCTAAGTTGGGTGCATATATATTTAAATTGTTATCTCTTCTTGTTGGACTGTGCCCTTCACCATATATAATGACCTTCTTTGTCTTTCACTCTTTTGTTGGTTTAAAAACTAAATCGTGTGAAATTAGAACTGCCACACCAGCTTCTTTTGGCTTCCACATGCTTGGAATATTGATCTCCCCTTTTATTTTGTTTATATGCATCCTTGAGGTTAGATGTGTTTCCTGAAGATAGCATATACTTTGCCTGTATTTTCTTATCCATTCAGCCAGCCTATGTCTCTTGAGTGGAGAGTTTAAGCCATTCACATTTATTGAGAGAACTGATAGGTAAGGTAGATTACTGATCATTCTGTTGGGTTGGATGTTGTTGCTATGATTTCTGTCTTGAGCCATGTAATATCTAGCCTTTAATATCTTTGGGATTTGG